TCTACGCAAAGATGAAACTGGTGTAAAAAATCCACAGCAATAGTAGGAAAAGAGGATTCTGCAGTGTTGAACTTCTACGTGAAAAGAGACTTTAAATCTAGATCCTTTATCAGTTCATACCATTCATATATGCGTATGCTAGACTTGTATGCGGCTTTCGAAGTTAGACCTTGATCAGGTTTCCGTCGATCATTTTCATCAGTAGTCTGTGGACCTATTATGGATACCAATAGAATGAGGGAATTTGAATAAGTTTTCACACCTTATAGGTTGAAGATCTACATGATGTTATAGAAAGATTATGATTATCCGTTGGCAGATGGGTCAAATTATTGCTGATCACCATCGTGATAGCCCATAATTGTTTTTATTTTTTGTGCACGTTTGAATACTATTGGGTAGATATTTGGGTGTATTTCACTGGAGATATGTTTGTCTGCACATATTCGAACTACATGTGTTGCGATTAGTTCTAAATAACCATATGGGGACATGTGTAGCAAAATAAGGTAGTGTATATAACTTATTCCCTGCTGCATGGCAACGTAAGACGCGAAGTTTCTTTCCTCACAATGGCTCACTAGTTTGCATATTGTTCTCACACCACGTTGACAGATGCAGGGACCAACCGCCAGTTCTTCGTATTCGTTGAATACCTATAGTTGTGAAAGCAAAGAGCACAATAGTGTGACCAGAAAAAAGTCATGCATTCGATGGTCATTCCAGTACCGTAAGGCGTTTTTACCAGTTGGCTAGGGAAACACTTAAGAGCAACGCAATGTAATAAGGCGACGTGCCAATTAGGGTGAATGCTAGGCTGGCTGCCGTCAGCTCTAACACTCCTTTAGAGTCACGAGAATCGGTGTCAGCGCTGAATCCTGTCAAAGCATAGACTAATGATTTCGTGCTGCAGTGGCCTAGCGGATAACGCTTTGAAGTTTGAGGGCTTACTTCCCTCCACACTGTTAAGATAAGTAGTAACGTGCAGCAAAATTGGAATAAAGGCCGTTGGTTTGAAGCATATTATTTACTGATGTGGTTACGGTGGATGAATGATTCAAAAATGAGATTTTTTGCCGTGCATAAAAAAGCGTCCCACATTTTAACAGTAAACGCTTGAAGTCATCTAAAATGGTTGTTGACGGAATAGAAGCTTTCGCTTGACTGGCTTCCGCATCGAAAGTCCATGGATCACTACTTGTGGTTGTTAACCTGTATACAAGTGAGGAGAGAAAGAAAAAAAGCAAACATTTTATTTAGTTTTGAGCAGATCCCAGGCACATGTCAAATAAGTATCCTGTGTGTGTACTGGTCAGTTTTATGAATCCATTACACTGTTGAAGAATTTTTATAGCGAGTTTCAATAAAGATGCTCAGCGAAACTGACTGTCAACTGTTAAAGGGATTGTTTACTAACCTAATGGGTACATGTGTTTTAGTTTTCTGGAAGGTATTTTCAGCACTAAGGTCGTTGTGGGGCGGCTAATATATGCGTCAGCTGGTGTAAGTGTGGCCCTGAAGACCACCTTAACAACAACCAAGATAACCATTTAGGGTTCTGTAGTATATGACAAATTGTCTGTTGTTGCAAAATGATGAAATTTAATTAACTCAGCTGTTTCAAAGATGGTCCTTTGGGTAAGTCTGTACATGTACTGCAAATTGTCGCGTTACCTACTCTGATCATGGAGGCATTGAATGTGCTGAACAGCTCCCTTGTTAGCTAAATCTTAATTCAGGTACAAAATACTCGTTTGGCATCTGACAGTCTGCGTAATCTCTGTCTCTGGTGAGATATCCGACTACTTAATGAAGTATAATTCGCTTCAGTCTTTAAGGCATTTTTAATTCTGCTGTGGGACTTGGTCGTTAAAAGTAAAAAATACGAATAGGCTAAAGATCTTTGATTACAGGTATATTTGTAGCACTGCTCACATGAGGTAGGATCACTGTGTGAATAACATTGAGGTTGCGCACAGGGTACTAAACAAGACAGGCAAGTCAGTGGATCAGGTTGTGAAGCTTCAGTGACTGAGGTGGCTTTGACATATGTTGTGAATATCGATTTGTTGCATATTTTGACGTACAGTGCTAGGGGAAGTTGAATTAGGTTGGAAGAGGGCTGGGAGCAGTCAGACCAAGACGTACCATCATGTCATGAAGTCTCTAACCATACATCTGAGCTAAGTATGGAGGTGGAAACTGTCTTCAAGACAGTAGGAATCAATGGTTGGAAACGTTGGTGATATGGTTGGGAACTGGTTAAAATTGACATCTATAACTTGAATATCTTCAATAATCTTGACTTTCAAATTCATTCCGCTTGAATAAACCTATCTGCTTTTACAGTGCTTTTACACAACCCTTTTTGTTGTCATTCGACCTTTACGTCATCAACTAGCAACATTATAATTACAACCAACATTATTATTACTTCAACCCCTCCCCCCATTATTCGAGTTAAATCTTCCTCACGGATTACAGTCTTTAAATATCATATGTTTACGAATGTACAGTTTGAGAATAAATTTGTTGAAGAGTCCTCTTTGCTGAATATCTTGTCTTTTACTGTCCTCTTGATTTTGCATACTACTATGAAGTGTGGCAACTTGAACTGATGCACTTCAGTGGGTGGATCTACATGAATTTTATATTGTCTCTCTCTTGATCAAGTTCCTTTCAAAAAAGAATAGGTGATACTCTATGAAGTGTTATTATTTCTCAGTATTCGTCACCGAAGTATTCAACTGTAGTTAAATTAGAGTATCCACTGTCTCCGTGTACGTTCACTAAATATATTCCACAGAAATAACCATTTATTCGTGTTAGTAATCACCTCTTATTTGTTGGTTTGTAGAATTGAATCAACCTAGCTGATACCCATTTTGAATACTTTATTAGATTTATAAGCACTGTATATTCCTTTAGCAAGTCTACTTCAGGCCAAATAAGTCATTTTAAATATCCTAATCACCAGCTAAAAGTCATGTTTGTTTACATCCCATCACAGTTATGTGTTATAGTAGATATGGCCTCTAAAATTTCAATAGGAATTATTCCTAATTTATTCAGCATCATGTTTTTTATTGAATTCTCTCCCCAATCGTAACATCTGTATTCACTGTTAACTCTAAATTGACGAGCTGAAAGTGGAATATAAAAAATGAACTTCACGGTTTATTTAGCGTTTAAATGCAGTTTATTCGAATGAAACTAGTGATACATTCCAGAATTTCTACTGTAATTCTAATTTCAGCTGATCATTGGTAACATTTAGATAAACTTTGAACCTCAAAGTGCAGCAATCCTGAATCATAAAACTGATAAGCAGAGGTGGTATACTGACTCAATAAAACGTACGCATTTAATTTTGTTGCCATATTCGGTATAAATAAGCTTATTACTGATGTCTGAGTTTCTTAAGAACAGATAAAATTCGTTTTGAATGACGAGGTTGTCACAGTATCTTACTTCATGGATTTAGTGATAGAACTTTTAGCTAACCACTATTCCTTTCATTGCTTCCTAGTAACAAAGTGAAAAGGGAATAAAATGTTTTTCAGTTGTAATGAAATATAACGCTTGTGCACTATCATCACTTTCAAAAGACGACCATGCGTAACAGTCAGTTGCCACACCTCATATCACCACATCAAGCAACAAAGCAATGAGATGAAAGATAAAGAAATAACGAAGAACCTGTCCAGAGCAGTAAAAGAGAGGAAGGAGGAATAGGGAAATACTGAATTCAGTATGACGATTAACATGAGGGTAATATGTGGTTACATCTGTGCCACTGAAGTCGATTCTGAGCCCACATCACCTAGAGCCTCCAACCACTGATTTCGGCTGTCACGCGAACTCCAACCGAGAAGTCTACATCCACCTACACAGCTCAGACCAACAGTCAAAGACTCAATAAACTCATGCCGTGTTTTAGTCTGACCACTTCTAACCTTTTACCAACCTAAACCTGCTTCAGCCAATATTGTGCGACGGGGTAGACGGTGATCTCGGATGCGTAACACATGTACCAGTCAGTCACCTGAGTCGATGAACGTTCACAACCTCTACAACTGACTTTCCTTTCCTGTCTAACACTCTTCGCTTGACTTCTTGCCTTACTGACGTGGTGACACCACGACACAAAGCTTATGCCATGAAGTTGATGGTGACCAAACACCTGAGACCAACTCATATCCTCTACCCTTAATAGAATGGAAGTGTTTTACACACATGTAGTGGGACAAAGCGAATTGCAGTGGAGTACACTCATTGCCTAGTAGACAATCGACACCACTCGACGAGTACAGCTCCCTGGACATTTCACCATAGGCTCTAACACGCCCACTAGTGTTCGAGTAGAGAGCCTTCAAATAAAGTGACGTACTTACTCGGCACGCCTTTCAGTGGGAGACATAGCCATAAGACTTCTCGATCAACAGAGTCGAATGTCGCATTCAGATCGAGAAATGCAGCTGTTTTCAGGCGTCGGTAAGCGTGTCTGTGTTCCGAAACCTGGTGCAGTGTGAATATTTGGTCGACACACCCGCAGCCGGGTCCAAAGCCTGGCTGATTTTCTCGGGCTTGCTGTTCCCTAGCTCCACTCGAACATCGAAGAATTATAGAACCTAGAATTTTATTTACTGTTTGTCGGGCTGTTTCCTCTGTGGTTATCGCAAAAGGAATTCTCGCCTTTCTTAAGACCGGAATAATCAGTGATTTAGTCCAGTCAGAGGAAATTGTATTTGATCCCCATATGCTTGTTAACACTTCCGTTAATCTGACTTAGAGCACTCTACCACCACCCTTGTTTACCTCAGAAGTTAGTCCATCTGGTCCTGCTGCCCTTCCTCGTTTCAGGTTACCTGCCGCTTTCTCGACTTCTGCTAGTGTTTGTGGGCCTATCCCAATGTTCCATTCTGGATTCGACTGGATAGCGGGGAACGCGATGGTGGCTGGAGGCCAGTTTAAGTGTTCCTCGAAGTGTTCTGCCCATCGTTCCAGTCGTCTCCTCTGCGAGTGAATCGCAGACTCCTCCTTCTTCGCTATAGTCTAACTAACTGTTGTTGACCTTTTCCCCCATTTTCTTTAATAAGTCCAAGTAACTGTCTACTGTTACCAATCGCCGCTGTCTTTTTCATCTCTTTAGCCTCCGCTGCCCACCACTGTTCGTGATCGTTGCGTATACTTTTTCTCAATCTACTTTTAAGTTGCGCTCACTCTTCATTGCACTCAGAGCCTGCAGGCAGGTATGCGTTCACGTGCATCCACTAGTTTGAAAGAAGCTGCTGATATCCACTGGCTCTTTACAGCCACTCCTTCTGAGTGGGCTACGGTCTTCAGAGCTGCTTTTACAGCAGACTGGAGATAGCACGAAGCTTCTTCTGGATGAGTGATGGTGTTCTGTTCCGACAACTGCCTAGCCAACTTCTCACTGAACACGGGTTTGGTGTTTTCGTTGTCGAGCTGCACTCGTAGTGGTTTTGTGGCCAAATTTTTTCTACGTCTATTGAGACGCAGGGATATACGCGCTTGGACCAACGCGTGGTTGCTATCTAAGCATGTACTCTGGAAGGAACGGGAGTCTTCCACTGATCCTCTCCAGCGATGACTGATGACAATGTGGTCTATCTGTGTCCATCGCTGAGTTGAGCTCGGTGGACACCACGTCAGACAGTGTCTTTTTTATATCTGTAATTTGTGCTAGCTAAAAGTAGGTGGTTATCTGAACACAGTAGTAGTAGGCGATCACCGTTATCTGTACTTTCAGCTGGGACTCCGAAAGTGCCACCTGAGTGCGTTTCTGCCTCACTCAGTTTATCCACCTGTGCATTGAAGTCACCTGAAATAACCACAACGTCTGAACGTTTGGCTTTCTAGAGGAGGCTAGACAGTTTTCGGTAGAACTTGTCATTTACTTCATCCGAACTGCAGTCATTGGGTGCGTATGCAAAGATTACAAAGAGACAACGGTGAGTTTAACTATTCCTTTTAGTTCTCACTGTGGCGTTCAGTTGGATAGCACAGAGGTGACTATCAACTGGGATCCAGTCTAATAGTGAGTTTTCTGCTCTAGTGCTTAGTGCTATGCCTACACCTGCAAGACTGCGAGAGCTAGCTGACGAATCTCTAGGAACTCGAAGGGTGAGTTTTTGCGGATTCACGAGATTGGCAGAGAGAGATCAGGTGAATAACCGCACTTGGGTCCTGTATGCGTGTCTCACAAACACAGCACATATCCATGACCCGAGTTGCTAGAGTCTTTGCCAACGAAGCCTGTTAACCAATTTGATGTGGAGGGTGTGTAGATGGAAGACTGCAATATGCAATATGTAGCGTGGCTTAAGGAGACCAAGGATGCTGTTTTGTGGAGTCAGATCGTTGTCGAGGGATGCAGAGCTAGGAGGAATTGAAGATGATGTAGTATTGTTAATTGGGAGACGTGAAGGAAGATTAGGAGGTAGGTAATGATGGTGGAGGTGAATAGCAGTCTGAGGAAACTTGAGTGCTAATGGAGTTGTGAGGGGGTTGACACTTCCCGGCTGCCCACACCATGGGAGGCAATTTCTTCTTAAGGTACCTGGAGGGGATTTGTGTGACCGCAGATCCCATCGGACATCTGCTTGAGGCCTGTCACACGAAGCCTTTTGTGTATGGTTGTTTTGAACTTTTGTTGTTTTTGGGCCGGATGGTCGAAAAGAAACGACGAATGAACCAACACCGCCTCTCCGGCAGACCGTGGGGTATGGTGGTGTGTGTTTTTGTTGCCGGCCTTTTCTAGCCACTCTCCTTCCACTGAGAAGGCAGCATCATCATGGCACTGCTGGTCATCCAAGAGAAGCACCTTACTGCTATCACACCCCATCCAGCTAGCAGCAGTACGACTTCGCCCTCAGACCCCTATGATGGTGTAGCAATTTACACCACAATGGTAACTGGTTTTCGTCTAACCACTATCCAACAGACGTTTTTGTATAGTAGGACCTCGAGGGGAGAAGTGTTCCACCAACATAGCTTGTTGGGTCATTGTGATCTACAAGCCCGGCTACCACGTCAAGGTAGGAGCTATCGATCGGAGACCTCTCAGTTGGTGGAGTTGAATGCCACTTTCAGGCCGAGAAAAAATACAAAGAGTTTCGGGTGTTTGTAAGTGTACCGATGTTCCGGAACCTGGTGGAGTGTAGATATCTGATCGAAACACTCAGAGGCATGTTTAAACCTGCTTGATTTCTTTGGGTTTGCTGTACCCGAGCTCCATCTAGATGTATGATGATTATGGAACCTATAATTTTAGGCACTGTGCTCGTCAGAGTGATTGCCCTGTGGTTATCACGAAAGGATCTCTCTCACATGTCGTGAAGATTGGGGCAATGAGTAGTTGATACCAGTCAGAGGGGGTCATATCTGTTGCCTATGCAGTACTTAACAGTTCAATTGAGTTTACGAATAGTTCTCTACCACCATCCTGCTACGTTCCTTGGTTCCGCGTTGCCTACAACTTTCCTGACTTTTGTTAATGTTGGTGGTCCTATCTCGGTACCCTATTCATTATCCGACTGGATGATGGGCAACAAAATAGGAGGTGGTGGCTAGTTGAACTGTTCGTGGAAGTGTTTCACCCATCGTTACAGTCGTCTCCCCTGCGAGTGTATCCCAGACCCACCTTCTCCGCTGTAGTCTCACTAAACACTTACCTTTTTCTCCCCAGTTTTCTTAATAAATCTAAGTAACTCTCTGTTGTTGACTATCGTTGGTGCCTTTCCCTTCTCCTTAGCCTTTGGTGCCCACTACTGTTGGTGGTCATTTCGTATACGGTTTATCAGTTTACATTTGAGTAGTTTCCGCTTCTGATTTTGCTCGGGGCGTGTGGGTATGCACTGAGGTGCATCCATTATTATCGCTATTTTGACAGCAGACTGGAAGTGGCTCCAGGTTTCTTCTAAATGAGTGATGTTTTTTTCTGATGTGTCCATCCAGCTTTTCTCTGAAAGCAGCCCTAATATTTTCATCATTGAGTTGCACTTGCAACGGTCTTGTTACAGTTTCTCACGCCCATTTAACGACAATCATACGTGCTCTAACCAATGCATGTTTGCTGTCTAAACATATAGTACACTAGAATGATCAGCAGACTTTCACTGACCGTGCCCAGCATCAAGTGATAGTAATGTGGTTTATCTGTGTTCACAGCTGAGTTGAGCTCGACAGATGCCACAGTAGATAGTGTCTCTGTTTATATCTGAAGTTCGTGCTGGGCAAAAATAGGTGGTTGTCTGAGCGCAGTTATAGCAGGTGATTCGCGTTATCCATTCGTTCGGCTGGGATTGTGAAAGTGTCCGGTAAGTGTCTTTCTGCCTGACTTAGCGTACCAAACTTGTGCATTGACGTAACTTGCTACGACAAGTATGTATGAACGTTTTGTCTTCAGTAGGAGTCTAGATATTTCTCGGTAGAACTCATCCTTTATTTCTTGTAAACTGCAGTCAATGGATGGATAATCAGGGATTATAAAGAGACGATACCGAGTTTCAGTATTCCTTTGGTCCTTAGTGTGTCATCCAGTCTAACAGCGTATAAGTGACTATCAACCAGGATCCCGTCGAGCAGTTGACTTTCTGCTCCAGGACTCAATGGTATGCCTGAACCTGGAAGACCATAAAAACTGGCTATGGAATCTGGAGAAACTTGAAGAGTGAATTTGTGGATTGGATATATTGGTGTGGTGCAGTTAGTGCATAACCGCACTTGAGTTGTGTATGCCTGCGTATCTGACAAACACAGGTTACGTATATGGCCCAAGATACTGGTTTAGCTTATCGATGCTTGTTGTCTGACTTGTTGGTGTGTGCAGACATTGAAGGTCCTACTGTGTAGTTTTGAGCGCGGTTTCAAGATAACAGAGATGTTGTTCCGCTGTCTCTCTAGGCAAATGACTCGTGATAACTGCTTCTTCTGCGATGGGGTAGTCTGATGTTGTAGTCTACAGGTTGGCCGACTACTGTTTTCTCAGTATTGCCGGTAATTCGTAACAATCATGGATAATAGAGTTGTTTAACGCTATTGAAATGTCCACCTAAGTTTTGAATCCTGATCAAAAGAAGATAGTGGATTTACACTGTATAATCATCAAATATTTCTTACCACTTTATCATTAACTTTAACTTAATTTTTGCTCATTTTTTCCTATAATACCATCTATGTGTGCTGTGTTTATTCATTCTTCATTGGTTTACTTTTTTACAGAAAGGTAAGGAACTTCAGCGAGATTATTGAATCATCGATATACGGAAAGATACATGTGTCAAGACCCCTTAACAGCTAGTGTTTGGAAGACGCTGCCTGTGGAAATCAAAGTAATTTTTTCCATATATCTGAAAATTCACATGATTACTGATCGTTTCATAACATGTTTATATGGAAATTAACTCCTGCTAAAAGTATGCCAGCATTTGGCACTCTCCATCACCCACATGGTTAAAGGTTACTCTTGAAAGTGTCTAAAGAATAAATTGGGTTAGAGCGTGATTGGTAGCAGAATCTGAGGGACAATAGCAGAAAAAACTGAAGCAAAGCTTACGTTTGGAAGTTCGCATAAATACTCAAGCAGACTCAAACTTTTAAAGTGTCTAGAAGATTGCATCTTATCAGAATCTTCTCCTAACAAGGAATATATCGTCTGCATCCCCAAAAATTACTTCCGAATCTCTTGTGATTAAATCAATCCTTTCATATTCGGAGGGGAAATTGACTGCATTAAGCGCACCTAGTAAATAGCTAAGTAAGAATCAGGAGAGCAGACATCCCAGACAGTCACCATTCAAAGTAGAGCTTCATCAGGTCATTCACCGTGTGTTAAAATGACTACTTGTGTTCAGATATAAACATTTTAGTCAGGTAATGTATTTGTTGGATATTTCTTTAGATGAAAGACCACCACAACGTCCTCAAGTCTACAGTGCTTTTGTTTGCAGAAATGGGCTCATTTCCAGCTTCATCATATGTTTAAGCTTCAGAATGTAGCAGTGGTTTAAGATCGGGTTGATATGCCAACAGCTGAGTCTGGTTTTCTTGGGTCTACTGTTCCCAAACTCCATTTATACTTGAGGCAATTAACAGCGCTGGAATCTTCGGTTCTGTATTGATGAAGTTAATTTCCACATAGTCGTCATAAAGATTTGGTATTTTTCCTTAGGAATAATGAACAACCAAAACCAGTTAAAGGGGATTATACAGTTTGTACTTCATTTGATCTTGTCAGTAATTGTCGAACGCTATCTTTAAGTGCTTCTTGCAAAAGCACACAAGAAATTGCTGCCATTTCTTCTTTCAGGTAAGCCACAATTTTCATATTTTCTGTAAGATTTAGAGGTTGGATGTTAATGTCTCATTGAGTTCATCTCTGCATGGTGTACAGGTGAAGAGTACCTGGAAGCTGAATTAAATGTCAGATTGTTATGCCCAGCACTCCAACCCCCCCACCCAGGTAGTTCACATCTCCCTTCACGGTCCAGATCAGCAGTCAAAGGTATCATGGACTGGTGCCATGTCTTGATTCGGCAACCTTGAGCCTTCTTCCAACCTAATTCAATTTCCCCTAGCACTGTACGTCAAAATATGCAACAAATCGATATTCACAACATATGTCAAAGCCACCTCAGTCACTGAAGCTTCACAACCTGATCCACTGACTTGCCTGTCTTGTTTAGTACCCTGTGCGCAACCTCAATGTTATTCACACAGTGATCCTACCTCATGTGAGCAGTGCTACAAATATACCTGTAATCAAAGATCTTTAGCCTATTCGTATCTTTTACTTTTAATGGCCATATCTCACAGGCGTATAACAGAAAGGACTGCAGCTCAACAAACTCGTCTTTGATAGGTAGTCGAACATCTCGTCGGCACCAACAACTAGTGAGAAGATTGATTGTGGTGAAGCATGATACTTACTTCTTACTAGTACTTGTTGATGTATGTAAGTTGTACGTCAAAACATCTACACACATCATCGTTGTGACCTTCAGTTCCAGACACTAGTAAAGGATAAGGAAAGCTCTGTGGTTGAAAGGTGTAAGAAGGAAATAACCAATCATATGTGTCACATCGGTGTATATACCTATGACACTTGTTACGGTTATTCGATACTGTTCTAAACTTACTCCTCTTTTTCGCCTCCTAATAATCTAGGTACAGTTGTGTCATCCTAATCGACGTGTCCTCTTAGATAGTCGTGTTCATTCAATCGGCGTCAAAAATGCTATATGTAATCCTTCAAACAAAAAAAGTACCTGCAGTACCACCAAAGTGCCATATCCTTTCCTCTATCCTGACATTCCTGTGGAAGTTGAACATTTAGATACTGATCATGGTGGTATCAGTGATGGGAATTCTACCGAACACAGGGATGCAAAGCCAGTTGCTACTTCTCCGTTTTGTCCTCTTATAAATACCAATATAACCACACTGAACACATCAGCGATGACAAAACCTCCTGATACCATATTCGATTTAAATCAATTCAGTGAATATGAACAAACATTCTCTTTGAAGTGTTTGCAGTTGGAGGCTAAACCACCACATTTTATCTTATTTAATGATGGCTTGTTTATCCGCTTAACAACACAAAAGTATTTTCGTTTCTGGCCAATTGAATTAATTTGGATTGAAATGGACGAAAAACGAAGTGAGTAAGTTTATTACATCGTGATTAGTTCAATAATGTCTAAAAATGTCTTGAGACAGCGTTAACGATTGGTGCATCAAATAAAAGAGATGTTTTCATTTGAAATTTATATTTAGTTAAAGTGCTAACTGTTCATAGACTCTTTTCCCAGTTTTTGTTATCGCTAATTCAGTGTGTATCACCATTCCTGATATTCAGCAGGGCATGTAGTAACTAACAAAACAAGCTTCACAGTTAATCACAAATTTGCTACTAATCAGTGTGAGAAATATAGTGTTCAGTATAAGAAAAGGTATGCATCTTATCATCATTATTATTTCAACTAACTTTGTATAGTCAAGATTATTGTAAGTCTACCGAAATTCTTTTTATCGCACATAAGACAGATGATCCGAAAAATCATAAGCATACATGTTTTCAATAATGCAAACAATGTATCTGCTTTCATAGCTTTCAACGCGGTGAAGTGAGGGTTCTTGATATCAGTAAAGAAGTGCCTTATCAATAGCTAATTTTAATTTTAAAACAGTTTATAACACAAGATCCCTTTGTAAAGATAGGGAGTGAAGTGGTTAAGCGTGTTGAATGCCTCGCCTACACGGGAAGTCTTATCTACTCTGGTGGGTCAGGGACCAACGAAATCTTTACACGGATACAAAAGGCTTTCGTCAACACACACCACTCATGACGTCATCGTGTTATTCGATTGTCTACTAGGCAATGAGTGTACTCCACTGCAATTCGCTTTGTCCCACTACATGTGTGTAAAACACTTCCATTCTATTAAGGGTAGAGGATATGAGTTGGTCTCAGGTGTTTGGTCACCATCAACTTCATGGCATAAGCTTTGTGTCGTGGTGTCACCACGTCAGTAAGGCAAGAAGTCAAGCGAAGAGTGTTAGACAGGAAAGGAAAGTCAGTTGTAGAGGTTGTGAACGTTCATCGACTCAGGTGACTGACTGGTACATGTGTTACGCATCCGAGATCACCGTCTACCCCGTCGCACAATATTGGCTGAAGCAGGTTTAGGTTGGTAAAAGGTTAGAAGTGGTCAGACTAAAACACGGCATGAGTTTATTGAGTCTTTGACTGTTGGTCTGAGCTGTGTAGGTGGATGTAGACTTCTCGGTTGGAGTTCGCGTGACAGCCGAAATCAGTGGTTGGAGGCTCTAGGTGATGTGGGCTCAGAATCGACTTCAGTGGCACAGATGTAACCACATATTACCCTCATGTTAATCGTCATACTGAATTCAGTATTTCCCTATTCCTCCTTCCTCTCTTTTACTGCTCTGGACAGGTTCTTCGTTATTTCTTTATCTCTCATCTTTTGCATGATATAATAGAAAAACGGAGGTTATCGGAGAAATTTGAAATATCAGGGTAATACATTTCGAACAATCTTGTCTCACTCACCTGTCAAGGCCTTTTTTGAGTGATAAAAATAGGGTGCGGTAAGATTAACGAATGAAGATAATGCGAGATTTGGAATATATATGGATAATAAGGAAGAAGAATACATTTCACACCTCCTCCGGCATTAAAATGAGATAAAGCTTACCGAGGAACGTTTATGGTAAGGACTTATTGTTTATGAATACATAAAGCGGGTTTGAACTGAAGCAGAGCTAAGACTTCATTGAACTTAAGTATACGGTGTTACCTTATAGCTTTGTTAATATGAAGTGTGGCAGTTAGAACCATTACGCTTAGTCCTTTTTGGTATTGAAGATGAAATTGTTTATCGAACATCACTCAAGGTGCTCTATGACGCTTAGTCTCCTAGCGTGGTAACCACGTTAAAAACCGAGCGGCTGAATTTGATCAGCACTTGGGATGCTAAATAATTTACCAAAGATCTTTTCTTCTTTAGTTCAGAATTCGAAATTCAAACTCCGGAAGGCGTTTATAAACTTGTATCCGTAAGTGCAGTTTATTGCATTTCATTGAAAGTATGCATATATTTTGTATTACTTAGTCATTTGGCGCAGTCTTAGTTTTAGCCGTAGCTATAGTAACATAGGCGATATCTATCAGTCTGTTACTATAACAGTAAAACATACTGTGATACAGTATAATTTGTCATAATTTTTTGATAATATGCATTACAAAATGGATAACTTTTCGGATACCATCTGTTGTTCATAGTCATAGTCGAAGTAACTGTACAACCCTGAGACGGCTTGTGTAGTTATAATTCTCTCTTATTTTACATAACACAGGGAATAAGATTTTCTAATTCATATCACCAAGAAGGAGAGAGAATTGGAACTACATAAACTATATCTCATAAACGTGCAGTCACCTTAATATGAGAATGCACAATAAATGGTCTCCAAATCGTAATCCCGTGAATCATATTGTGTCACTGTGTGATTACGTCTAACTAATTAACTAAACTGGAATTAAATGCTACCATAGTTCCTAAGTTTTACTCTTCGTCTTCCATTTTATATTTGGCTAGGTTTCTATGTTTTGCTAACCTAAGTGATCCCAGTCAGCTAGTTCAAACTATTTGCCTAACCTCACAGTCACTGGACGAAATTTGTTAGACGAGATTATTTTGTTGAGGGATTCCCGTAGGACCCTCTGGCCAACAAAGTTGGTTGAATGCCATTTACTTCCCTACCTCCATATCCCGTGGTCTATCAGAGATTGAGTGTACTGCACTGCACTTTGCTGTGTCCTACTTTATGAGTGTGAAACACTTTCATTAAAGGTAGAGAACATTAGTTGTTCGGTCACCATCGTCTTCGTCGTCTTGTGTTGTGGTGTCACCACGTCAGTAACGCAAGAAGTCAGGCGATGAGTGTTAGACAGGAAAAGAAAGTCGGTTGATAAGGTTTTGAACGTTCATCGATTCAGGTGGCTGGTATATGTGTTACGCATGCCTGGTCAACGTGTGCCTTGTCATACAGTATACTGATCAATTTTCAAATGATTTAAAAATTGCATGGTTCATGTTGACATTTATTACGGTTTAGTATTTTATCAACTTCCCAACTACGGTATCAACAGAGTTTCCGCTGGAAACCATTCAGCCGATATCTCTGATACAAAAATGTCATGTACCAACAAAAGGTATTACTACTGGACAACTTGAGTAGTTGGAAACTACTCAAACTAATCTGTAGTATTTCGCCAGCCAGATCGAAATGATCTAAGCACAGGACTACCGGTTTTCTCGTTTGGGGGCGAGTTCATCAGCGATATACCTGAAAAAATTCAGCTCACGGAGTCGAAGTAGTTCAGACCGCCTGATCGTTCTATTTTAAGTATACCAGTCCGTATACACTGGCTAGTCAGATTCAGGTAGTCTGAACTAATTTGGTTTTATGAGCTGAATTTTTCCTGATACACTGCTAATTAGCTTGGGCCCAAACGAACGTACCGTCTCTTTATTGTTTAGATCGCTCTGATCTGGCTAGTGAAATACTACAGATCAGTCTGAGTGGTTTTTAACTACTGAATTTGTTCAGAGTAATATTATCTTGTCGCATAATAGTGGTTGAAGTGGGTTGAGGCTGTGAGAAGGTGATCAAACCAAAACATGGTATCAGTCGATCGAGTCTCTCAGTTGGGTCAGCGTGACACCGGAAATCGGTGGTTGGAGACTGTATGTGATATTGGCTCAGAATCGATCTCAGTGGCTCAGATCTATCTACACATTATCCTCATTTCATTCGTCACCAAATTTCTTATGACTTACTTTCTCTTTTGACTACATTCTTTCTTATTTTTTTATGTGTTGTCTTGGTACGTACTATCTTGCCAAGCGAAAATGATGTGTATCAACTTGAACCTTTGCGCAGTAATGCCAGACGTCATATTGATATTCAACGAATCATCAGATTGGTGTGAAGTTTTGGTTTGGTTAATTTAGGCTTTTTTGACTGTTAGCTACTTCTGTCAACCTAGGCGGATAACAAGTGATCAGGTGACGGTAGGAAACAGTGTATTTAGCTTGATAGCGAAGATTCAGTTCAATTATCTACAAAAATATATGCACAGGGTAGATAAATATGTCCATGGAAATTCTAAGCATATCCTTTTTGAAATTTCACTTTGTTTACTTCATAATGTCATTTCAAGCTTTATGATGAGCGAAAGGCAATGAACCAAATGCTTGAATTCTCAGTGTATTGCTTAGTAGTATACTACACTTCAGACATTCATCTGCTTGACAGAAATACCCATTGTGATACTCATTTGGCATCATTAGTGTCATTTGTGTGTTTTTAAAAATGGAGTTATCCTTCATTCACTATTTTTGTTGGCTAGTTTCAGTTTTATTTTTCCTTTCTCTAGTCATTATGGCATGCTGTTTTACTAAAGACTGTGAGATATGCATGTTCGAGTCGTGATGATTTATTTGTTATTCGAAGCGGAACCGATGATCATAATGATGATACCATAGATTGTAATTCTCTCCGGGAACAGCGTTGTTGTAAGTCTTATTCATCTTCTGCTTGAGTTTCATTTGGGTAGGGTATTCTATTAACGTTTTCATATTTTTCTCTAGTATATTATTTGTTTAGTTGATGTAAAACAGTTATATCTGAAAAACTAAAATTTATTTCCCTTTCTTAATAGCATTGTCATGGCATCACTGTATGATGTCACTTGGGTACTAATTGGATCGTGGTTAAGCTGACTAAGGTAATGGGATGTATAAAATTGGTAACAACAACTATTTGCATGCTGTAACTGGTAACAGTAAAATATACGCAGAAGCTGACTTATCTTGCCACATAAGTGATAAAAGCATCAATTTAGACTTGCTCATTACTCGTCTTTTATCAGTTATAATGTATTGAAGAAACGAAATAAGAACCTCAGAGAGGCTTTATCGGTAGTAATATTTTATTCATTTTAAAAGATATTTTACTGTTAACTTATTTTGTAGTGTTGATATGTAGCTCAACTCAAGGGCTCTTTATTGACTCCTCAACCAATTTCGTCCCGACTGATAGCTGCTACCTTGACGTCGTGGTTGGGCTTGTATATCACAATCACCTAATGAGCTGTGCTGGTGAAACCTTTGTTCTCTCGAGGCCCTACCATACCAGTAAGGTGCATTAGATAGCGGTAAGACAAAAACCAGTCGCCGTTATAGTGTAAATTACTACACTATGATAAGAGTCTGAGGGCGAAGTCGTACTGCTGCTAGCTGGATGGGGTGTGACAGCAGTAAGGTGTTTCCCTTGGATGACCAGCAGTGCCACGATGATTCTGCCTTTTCAGTGGAAGGGGTAGTTAGAAAAAGTTGGCCCCCAAAATAGCACCCCACCATGCTCCACGGTCCTCCGGTACCGGCGGTATAGGTTTTCTCTCTCCTGCATTACAACAACCAAATGTCAAATCAACATCCCGCAAAAAGCCGTGTGCGATGGGCCTAAAGTAGGTTTCCCATGATCTCTGCGGTCACAAAATTTCTTCTCTGTTTCAGGTACCGTAAGTAGAAACATCCTTTCATAGTGTGGGTAGCCGGGAAGCGTCAACCGCCCGCACGCTTCCACTAGTAAACAAGACCCAATCAAATATAACGTGTCCTCCACAACTCTGTCTTCTTCTTTGCCTTAACCTCCTGATACTAATATAACGCCTCTTACACCTTCCTCAACTTCTCACTCTGCGACCGTTGCCAACAATCAAAGACGTCTAAACCTCATTGCTAGTCTCCTAAGACCCCGCCATCGATTTCATGTAGGGGCTTTCAACGTTCGAACTCTATGAAAAATTCAACACCAAATATTTCTAGCCGAAACTCTGGAATCTCCAGCCATTGATGTATGCTGTGACTCCGAGACATGTATGTAGGATCCGAGTATGGCTATTAAATTGAAGCATAAGAAGAGACACTGTCTCACATGGCATGTACCAACACGAACTAACGATAGACACAGATAGACTACAATGATATAGGACGTTGTTGTAGAGGATCTGTGGAGGACTGCCACTTTTTTTGCAGTACCTATTTTGACTCCGATCACGTCCTAGTACGGGTTTGTGAATATCTGGACCTTACTGGTCACAGGAGGCAGTGAGGCCCATCTGTTCTCGATTGATGAGGACGTGAAGCATGCATTAGAAGAGGAGTTAGCGGAGGATTTATCTGAATGTGACATCAATGCTCATCCTGAGGAAACCTGAAGTGATATGAGGTCTGCTGTAGAAACAGTAGTAAAGACAATTAGGATCCTACATCCAAAGGTCGGCAAACATTGGATTTCCGCGACGTCATCCAAACTGATTGATGCGAGAAGACTGATTCCAGCTGGCTCTGACCATGACGAAAAGCGAAAGCAACTTAAAGGTAAGTTTACCAAAAGTCTTCGCGTCGATCGCGAGCAGTGGTGGGTGGCAAACGCTAGAAAGGTGGAGAAGGCATCAGCGTTGAGTAACACGCGCCTACTATTTAGGCTTATTAAGGATATCGGCATGAGGTAGGTAGACGGCGGTTATTGAAACCACCACCGAAAAGGATAGGACGCTGATAACATCTCAGGACAGGTGGCTAGAACGTTGGGCAGAACATTATGAGGTGCCATTCGACGCTTCAGCTACCCAACATCCAGACAGCCTGAACCTGAATAGGGTGTAGATGTAGGTCCCCGAACTCCTCTTGAAGTTGAGAAAGCTGTATCGAACCTGAAAGTATGCTAAACAGCAGGAACGGACCATCTGCTACCTTAATTTTTCAAGAATGAGAGTAAGAGATTACTGCTTAGAGCAATGAAGGTACCAGGTAGTGTACGGGAATCCGACCACCTATTAAAGCATGAGTACACTGCGCTGCCGTCCGTTCTGTCTTAGTAGTACACCTGTGAAACATGGCCATTAAAAGTAGAAGACATGAAGCGGTTGCAGGGTTTTCATCACACGTGTATTGATGGCATTGTTCGCGTCAGTTGGAATCACCGTGTGAGCAATGTTGAGGTCAGACGAAGGATTACTAGGTATGAGAGGCAAGTCGATTGACAAAGATGTGAAGCTTAGTCGACTGAGACGGCTTGGACATATACTGCGCATGTTGAGCCACCACCGCCTACCTCGACGTGCCATGCTAGTGGAGGTTGGATTAGGTTTGAAGAGGGCTTTTGGTTGCCGGATGAAGAAGTGACAGCAGTCGATGAAGTTCTCTTACTGTTGGTCTTATCCGTGTGGAGGAAATAAACTACCAGGTTGGGTCCCCGAGACCAAAGGAATCAGTGGTTGAGGATTTTTGGTGACATGGCTGAAAATCGGCTACAGGATCACAGATGTATTCACTGCTTGATATCTTCTAAAGCTTGAATATTTGTATTAACCTCAATCTTTAAATTGTTTATTCTTTCACACTATTTTATCTGCTTCGATATCACTTTTATTCTATCTACATATTCTTTGTATACTACTTAGTGAAGTGTGTCAAATTGAGTCGGTGTATTTGTGTGAAGTTCTACGTGGATTTTGTCTGTTTTTGCGTCAAACGTAAGGGCACAAGTCCAATCAACCCCATTTCATAACGGTTTCTTACCCATGACTTCCAGCCAAGCATTTCACATAGTTGTAGGCGATGGTTAGTTCATTTTTCTGGTTGGAGTAAGTTACATGGAATTTGGAGCACTTAGGCTCGTCACTGATAGCCTTAATATCATAGTTGATGGTGGGTTTTCTCCTGACATCTCCGAGTTGCTATACTATCCAATTAATAGTCACTAGGCATCATAGGCAGGCCGACTATATACCTACACCAATGGGGCAAATGTACCAACTTTTTATCTTTTGTTCAGTTTCGTTATCTGTTTACTTCTCATTTATTTGTCCACGTTCACCAACATTCCTCTATTTTCTTCAGCATCTTCTGGTTTCTTTTTTTTGTATCATGAAGTGCAGCAACTTAAAACCATCTACCTTTATCCAACACTTCAGAATTCCTTGGTTGTTGCATTCAGTCAATACGTTAGTACTATCACCGCTGTTTGAAATAGAATAGCGATATTCACTTCTGTAAAACAGGACTAAAATACTTAATTCTTCACAAAAGTTAAGCAGTTAATAATAATGTATGTCAAAAACTTATTCATAGGACAAAAATATCCTTACAAATCAGAGGTTTTATATGCGAATTGCAGATAGATGGGCTCATATTTTATGTGGTTACCTTGAAGCTTTCACTCCAGTTTCAGTAAAATGTTTCACAGCAAAGCAATTATAATTCCAGGCTGTTCAAGCACATTCAACCTTCCGAGGGTAATCTAGTTCAGAACGTCACTGTTTTACGATTCCTTGTTAGTCGGAATTCTGTCGTATTAGTAGGGAGACGAGGCGATTGAGCACATTAAATTTTATTCGCACTAATATGACATTAAATTAATGAGGCTAAGGTCTAGCAATTGTTGGTTCTTACTTTGAAAAAGAATGACATGAATGAAAGAAATTCATTGGATTTTTGACATCGGTGTTAGATTAGATTGAAATATCCATACCAAGTAGCACTTTCCAACCAGTGTATATCTATTTCTTCCAAAAGCAACTGGAAGAATATTGTACTTCGTAAATTCAACTGCTACATCTAAGATCATTGTATGATTGTGACCTTCCTTCCTTTTGAGTTGAACCTTGCTGTCACGATCCTGGAGGAGATTGGTTCCCACTACATAAAAGCCTTTGATGGTTTTGAGGACATCATGATAGCCACTCCAAAACTCAGTGTGCTCGTGGTTGTCGTCTGGGTGACAATATCGGAGTAGATTATTGATTCTCCAGTTGACAGTTTGGAGAGTCCACTTCTATTCCATCTGCTTTCGCAAATCCCAAGCACTTCGATGTGATACCTTCTCATCTCCTTTGCAATCTGGGCTACCTTGCTAGGTTCAAACATTGTGCGGACATTCCATGTCCCCACGTTTACTTTCGCTTTCATCGATAGAAGAGAAGACACATCGGCCAATTGGCTTCCCGAAGGCTTTCACCAACTGGCATCATTTCGCCTCTGCGATTCCAGCGAGTAATAATATTGTTTTTATTTTTTATGTTTTGTTTGTGTCTTGAAATTTGTTTAGCGGTTGGATTTGTTTTCCGGGGTAGGGTTGCCAGCCCTATGCCCAACCTTCCCTCTTTACCCGGGCTTGGGACCGCCTAGTAACTAGTGAACCTTTATCAGCCTTATTCAACAACTATATGAAGACGCCACATGCCAAGTAATTCACAATGGGAAGCTCAGTGATGCTTTCGAAATGAAGACAGGAGTGAAACAAGGCTGCCTACTATCACCCATGATATTCCTGATTGTAGTGGATTGGATCATGCAACAAACAGTGAGGAGCGAGAAGAGGGGGATACGCTGGACTGCGGAAAAGAACCTGGAATATTAAAATTTTTTCCGATGACTTGTGCCTGATGTCACATAAACTTGAAGATCTACAGGCGAAAACTAACAAGTTGACAGAATGGGTGGGGCAACGAAGACGGACTTCAAGTGAATATGGCGAAGACAGAGATGATGAAGATACCACACCACCACCACCAACAACAACAAATTCCAGTCACCATCAACGGGAGAAACTTAAAGGAAGTAGCCTCCTTCACCTATCTAGGTAGCACTGTTTCAACTACAGGCGGGACAGACGAGGATGTCAAAGTCAGAATCGGAAAAGCAAGACAGGTGTTCATTAGCCTGAAACCAGTGTGGAGATCTTCTGCATTCAGCATGTGGAACAAGATCCGGATTTTCAACACTGAGTCAAGTCAGTGCTTCTGTATGGTTCAGAGACTTGGGGCGTTACGAAAGGTATTTCCAATAAACTACAGACATTCATCAACAGCTGCCTACGCTCGTTACTGAAGATCAGATGGCCAGAAAGAATAAGCAACAAGGAACTCTGGGAACGAACTAACCAAGAACCTATCGCTGAACAAATATGCAGAAGGAAGTGGAGATGGATTGGACATGCACTGAGAAGGCCGACTGGGGACACAACGCGTTAGGCCCTCTAGTGGAACCCCGATGGGAAGCGACAACTTGGGCGTCCGAGGGTGACATGGAGGAGATCGTGCGAGGAGGAAATGAGAGCTTGTGGGCTGTCCTGGAGCCAGGTTCAAAAGATTTCAGAGAACAGAGTTCACTGGAGACGTGCTACTGAAGCTCTGTTCCATTAGGAACCCAAGGGACAAATAATATAATATACAATAAATCTGAGATCATTGATTTGTCGTGAATTTGGTTCGTTTTGAAGAGCTGCATAACTGGAAGAAATTATGGATTGTATTTAGTTCATAACCGACAGGCTTATTGGAACTATAATAGTTAAGGATCTGGAAGGTAGACCGTTGATTTGGCGGAACTTTTGTACTAAGAGTTGTGTGTACGGTTGCCACTTTCTGGCCGTGGAGATTGTGTAAGTCGATTGCTTGTTTTGCCGACTGACGTCTTAGGATTATTACGTGATAGTAAATTTCGAGGGACACCTGTCTGAGGCTGGTAACACAGCCTTTTTAAAAGTTTGGGATTAAATTTTGTTGTTTTTGACTTTAACTCTGAACCCATATTCACCGGCACACGTATGCTGCAGAGTATAGGGGAGTGTACTTTTTTGGGACTTACCTCTTCTCCTCTCCCACTGTTCTTACCAGCTAGCATTTCGACGTCCCTCTTGGACCCGTCATGTTCGAGCAGCTTACACTATATCGGCAGTTTCTTTTTTTGTAACCACTGTCTAACAAACCTTCATGGTATTATAACGCCCCTGAGAAGCAAACATTCCACCAGCGTAGCTCATTGGATTATTATGATATGCAAGCCCGACCACCACATCAAGTTAGCAGCTATCGATTGGGACCAATAAGTGTTTTGAATTCAGTCTTACAGGAGGTTCCTCACAGCGTGAATAGCTGAGTTGTAGTGTCTCTGACTGCACTACTGAGTGACGCAGTCCAGTAAATGATACTGTTTCGCTGTGTGACATTTCTAATTAGCAGACTAAGATGAAATTACAATCTACAACAGTGCCCAAGTTTTACTCTGATATTGAGTGGTGCAAGTTTGAATCTCTGACGTGCCACCAGTTGGCTTTAGGCTGCACATGCGCTTTGCCGACGAGTGCCAGGTAGCACGAAATCTTCTGTCAGGTAGGGCTTTATGCTGATCGCCTGTAGTCAATTGGCACCAGTTGTAGTGCACCTCAATGGTGAGTCTCTTACCTATATTGCAAAATGCTTGATAGAATTCGATCAGCACCTAATAATAGACAACAACAAATTGATTAGTCTTCAGTTACAAGTCAGTGGTGTGGTTTTTTAGTATTGACAGTTATTGTTCATTTTAGGCCTGTATCATCTCTTTCGGTCTGGTCCACTCGAAGGCTTTGCTTACTACGGGTCTTGGTTAAATGGAGAACTTTTTGGAAGTGGTAAAATGTGTTGGCCGGCCAAAAATTTCAACACAATGTATTCACGTAAAAATTCTACTCATTCAAATGAACAGTGCAGCTCAGAAACACCATCTCACATCTTTCATCTACAGAATGAAAATAATGACACTGACGATTTGTCCTGCAAAATACCTGATTCAGTACGTCTATTTCTTGCGTTTATTGGTCCTTTGGATATTTGCGTGAAAAACATAGAAAATAAAGTGATATCTATTTTCTGCGATGGGGAATTTCAATCAAATCAGCTTGATGGGTAAGTTATATATATATATATATATATATATATATATATATATATATATATATATATATATATATATATATATCACACTAAATGAGAGAGATTTAATTTCACTCACAGATCTGGTTATCTCATTGATGAATCACTTAAAATTACCTTATGAATCTTTGGTTGGTGCAGCTTTCTGTTATAACCCCTCTTAATTAGCATTTTACATTGTGGTGGTTTCAGATACTTTTTGTCGCAAGTTATTCCATGTTTCGATACCAACGGATCCTATTTTCATTCAACTTCAGTAACAGGCAAAATTAAGCGCGAGGAAACAAAATAGTCTTGAATGGGTTTGATAGTGAATCTATCTGAGCATTTTGTGATAAAACGTTTTTCCTTCCGTTTTTGGCTGTTTGTATTTGATTATTCCACGGCAGAATCTTGTAGTTTATCATTTGTGTTAGTATGAGATAGCATCTTGGTTATTTTCAAGAGACTGCCATAATTCTTCGAGGTATGAATATTAGTTAGATATTCATCCCAAAAGTGACTGAAACCGGTTCTCTTTTCGAAATACAAGCATCAACGTTTTGACCTTCAGAGTTCTGATTTGGGAAGATAAAATAAGTGATATTCGCGTTCAGTCATTCCCTTGCAAATTGGATATCTTTCTTGATTTTATTTTACAAATTAAACTACAAGTTCTGACTTCTCCCTCTTTTCTTTTTCGTCTAAAGGTAAAAATAATAGAGTGTAGTGCTTTTACAAAGTTCATTCTCCTTTGTGTAATTTATCCACTTATTCCACTGTTTTATTGATGAAGCGATAAAATATTACTCACCATCTTGCAGTGTAAATATTGTTTATTTTCATCTGATTTGAAATCCGTTAAAAACATCTTTCAAAAATCAGCAGCTTTGATAAAAATAGAAAGGTTTTGAAAAACAAATTTCATGGTAGTTTTTGTAGTTTCAGATGACTTTAGTCAGAACATACTGACGAATTATCAGTTGATCATTAGAGAGTAACCAATTTCATGTTGTCTATTCTTAATTACCGATCTAATTCTATCGATCATTTTGTAATGTGGTCAACAGGCTAGGAGGCTCAGCATCACAGTGCATTTTGGTAGATGTTAGTTGGTTGGAGTTAATCAGCCGAAATTCCTTAACGGTACGTTACGTGCTTCTTGCTACTCGTCAGCAACCACATAGCCTAGGTCAAGCAGGGTTTTCTGCTGATTGTCTCCTACCATCTAACACTGTTGGTTTCCTTGAATGTTTCCTGTTAGTGAATAACAGGGTTGAATTGATCAACTTTTGTGTTGATATTTGGGGATATGGTTAGCTAGGGATGTGTAATTTGGATACCGAATGAACAATATGATACTCGATAACTTGCTTGGTTGTCATACGGAAGATAGTTTTGGACTGAAGGGAGTTTACTTCCTTTGAGGAATATGAATCTAGGAGCGAAACTCTTGGGTTTATATACAATGCGGGTGTCCTTGGAGTCACTTTGTTACATGAGCTAGTCATATAAGTGACTGTGATTGATGCTCAAACCCGTTGAACAACAGATAGCAGTCATAACTCAATATTGTAGTGGATACTACTTTAGTGTTGTCAGCGATGGATATTAGGTTTGAGTTAGAAAACCGATAGTAGGATACGGATAAATCCCAATGACTAGTTTTGGGGTTACCAAATACGCTTGGTGTTATAACTGTTTAAAAAGTTTTTATGAGAATGAATAAAATTTGGAATGTCATTATTCTTCTTACTGAATACTATTCTATTGTACTAGGAAAATGGTAGTTTTCTTTTAGATTGCTGCTTTTCTTCATGAAATCAACCTCTATTGCTTTTCGTTATTTCACTGCTTTAAATCTTTTGTAGATGTATTTTGTATGTGAGAATTTCGAGTTATCTCATCAGATAAAAACTGTACTAGAATGGAGAAATTAATATTTACTCACAACAGTTCAGTTGCCACACACGAATGATGATTGTTCCGCCAACTCGAGAGTAGAGAGAACAACTGACCGAATATCAATGTTTGATGTGTTATAGTTCTAATATATTATACTGTATATATATATATATATATATATATATATATATATATATATATATATATATATATATATATATATATATATATATATATATATATATATATATATATATATATATTCAAAAGATGGGACATATATGACACAACCAGGTGGTAGTTAATGATAATAAGGCCACACAACAGTAAATTTATCTTAACGTCTAGTGTAGGACTGCACTTCTGTCAACTATATTAGAATCGTAAAGATCTACTGATTTAACTGACCATACTTACGTATTCCACAGTAGCAACCTGGAATGCAAAAAGGTTGTATTACCATTCAACTCTTTGTTGTACTCAATCAACTTTATCATATTTGTTCTAGTTTCATTGTCAGCCCTTCTATCACCTACACTTGCTAATCTTTCATTATTTGTTTTCTTCTTATTAAAAAAATTTATTCCGTGTCTAGTCTAGGTGAATTATGTATACAAACTACTCAAGGTTCCATCAATGTTCGGGCCGAATGGAAGAATGGTCGACCACACGGTATTGGTTCCTTAAGGTATGATCAAGTCTTACATTATGTATTTTGGAATAATGTCGCACTCCTGTTTTTAAGAAAATTGTAAATACATTATGTGTACCTATTATAATTTATAGATATATGAACGGTGATATTTATACTGGTTGGTTTGTAAATGGTACTCGAGAAGGCCATGGTTGTCAAGAGACCTTTCCATTGGACAATTTGAGGTATCCAAAGCAATGTTATAGACGGAATGAATGGAGTACAGTTTATTCGGGGAATTGGCTTGCTGATAAACAGGATGGGTTTGGTATACTAAAAGACACCACAAATGGTTAGCTATATTTTGATAACTTTTGTTTCGATTTGACTTAGCAAATTGTTTATTCATAATAGTCAATTTATACATGAGTAAATTTTATTGGCTGGAAATATTTGGTGTACATGGAGTTTCATTCAGCAATGTTTTTTGATCACCATCAATACAACTTAAAGTCTGTAGACATCTTCACTTTTGGGAATGATAATTAGAACTGAAAGAAATTCCAGACTGGGACATACTGCCAACCGATCTGCTACTACAGATTAGGTGACTGAATTCCACTGTCAATCAACTAGGTTCAAACCACCAAAAGTTAGTTTTAAAATTTTAACTTATATGATTTCTTAATTCAGAATATAAAAAGAATGTTACGTAGTAGAAAACAGTTTCGTAGATTAATCATGGTTAGGCAACATAAAGTTGATATACATCAACACTGAATTAATATTTATCTAATAACTACGTTGGCAACCTCATTTACTGCCTTAATGAACCTAGAGGTGATGGGATCTCAACTGAAATGTAAAACGTTCGTTTGACACTTACTAATTCCATGCCACTTTGTGTACTGGTGATATATATCCGATTTCATATCTCAATGGGCCAGAATACTTTGCATCAGTTCGCTCTGTCCTATTGTAAATCCATAAAATATAACCATTAAAAGTAAATGATATAAGATAGTACATTTTTCATGATGATTGTCTTCGTAGCTTTATTGACGTCTGGCGGGACTACTATTTGATGATCATTGTTGACACCAGACATAATGTACTGGGCAAGGAAAGCAAATTAGTTGATCTCGTGAAGAAAAACATGAGATGGCTCGAAATTTTTTTACGTATCTTGGGACACCACCTACCTCAACTTACTATGTTTACGGAATCGGGATTAATTTGGAGAAATGCTAAGAATGGTACAACCAAGAAGTAATCCCAATTTATAAAGTCTGTAACTGTTGGTGAGATTCGCCTAAGGAGTTGATGAATACTAAGATGAAATTGGTTCATGATGTGTGAAATCATTTGTTGCAGACCCGTTAGTGATGTGATTGAAAATCAGTCACAACAGCTCAGTATCAACCGGTGTCAATTTTGTCAATTATGTTGATGACGTGGCTGTTTCCCTACTTGTTTCCTCTTCAATAGAGTGTTCCAAACTGAACGATTTCTTATCTACTGTTGGACAATGGTCCTCCGTGAAGGAGTCGTGTGTTTTATTCACCAGTGTCAGACTATGAAACTTTAGTTTCAGACGTGAACATAACGTATGCGAACTGCTTAGGTTTCATGATTGGTGATCTATTGATAGTTGTGTATTTAAGAATATTTACTTGAACAATCTACCAGAAAGATCTCATTTTACTGTCGATATATGGGTGATACATTCATCCTGTGCGAAACCAACATGGATAGGTCGAAGATACTCAGCAGATTCAACGCACTACACCAAGCGATACAGTTTACAAGTGAGGAAGAGTCACAAGGCAAGGTAGCTTTCCTCAATGTTCTTCCCTCAAGACGAAAAGATGAGTTGATAAACAGAAATTTGTTTAGGAAAAGTAAGTGGATGGGGCAATACACACACTTTCATAGCTCTGTCCCCCTTCACAACCAAATAAATTTAGTAAAGCCTCTAACTTACAGAATGAAGGCTATATGTTTGGGAGATACAGCTAAAAAGAAACTGGCGACTGTACACAACACACTAATGGAAAATGGCTGTCCTGATAAATTGACAAAGAAAAATATGATTACGAAAGTGGTAAGAAAAGAGGGTTGTTCCGATGGCTAGCAAAAAGCCACCATATCTTGGCGTACAACTTAGTGATGATGCTCTCAACGGGACATTAACTCACAAACTAATCAGACCAATTCAGAGAACTTGTAATGCTGGTAAATTACAAATTTCGTTTCCTACACACCCAAAGGTAACACTGAGACGGAAAGATGGATTGCCTAGACTGACCACTTCCTGTTGTTTATCATTTGACTATCTGAGATAGCCGTAGTCTGGCAGACTAGTTGTGTGGCAGACTTCCTGTTGTGTTTAACAGTTCGACTGCTGGTGTGGTGTCAGTTACGTCGGCCGCTGCTGTAGGAATTTAATTTTCCATGGTCACGAACACATTTCAGTGTGGTTAAGTAAAGATATGGTACAAACCGTTACCATCTCTATATTGACACACTTGGTTGGGACGAACCATAAAAAGGGGTATGAATGAGTCATTTTCCATTCTGTACCGGGTTCCCATCAACTTGCCAAAAGTTACCCGGCTCAGGATCCTTCAAACTGCAGAAGCAGCAGCAATCAGGGTAAAACAACTTGAGTTGTGTGTTCAAAGGAAGCAAGTGTTGCCACTACAACTACTGTGGCCCGATGCAGGATGGAAAGATTGGTTGGCATCCCACCTGAGATAATCTAGTTCCATACTTCAGGAACCACTTCTTCTGTATAATCTGCTAATAATTTTGAAAAATGCTCTTAACGTATTTTGTCCTGCTTAGTTTATTTCATCCGGCTCTCGTAAACACCTTCCTATGGTTTTATTAAACTATCACCTTATAAATGAAATATACTTATAAAATCTCAATGAAGTAGAAAAATAATTTTCTGGCGTTTCTCGACTTCGTGGAAAACGCTTCTTCAGTAAGTAAAACCTGTACAAGTTATCGATTGTTTAAATAGTAAGTGGTAACAAATCAGATCACATTGTCTATATGTGATAGTAATATGAACATAACAATGTCATTGTTTTCCACGAAATCGAGAAACGTCAGAAAATTATTTTTCTACTTCATTGAGATTTTACAAATATATTTCATTTATATAATCCATTCACCCAATGCTTAACTTATTCAATTCTATCAGGTCACATTTTGATCCTGAACTTTATAATATCACCTTATAGTATTACATAAGCCGTGTAATCATTTAGATAATCAGTTACAACTGATTCTGTCATAAACATTCACACATTACTTTTCTCAACTGACTACCTCAACTGTATAGTGTTATTAGCAAACCGATAAGTAGAATTTCTATATTGCTGACATATAATTCCTCATTATATACATATAACTACAGAACCTGAAGAAGTTATGGAAAATAATATTCTTTGTTCACTCAGTTGGCTTTTGAATAAGAAAGTTGCTAGGAAAGTGGGCCAGTTTGGTTGTCACCATTAAAATATAAAGACAAATTGCATTCTTATGCAAAAATATCCTTCATTGGACTTATTCACGCATTTTTAGCAACCTGCAAATATACAACTTCAGAGTTGACCTCATCATCATCTTGTTTCAAAATGTCTTATATCACTCAAGCAGTGTTTGGTAAACTTCTTTTCCGATTTAATTTTATACCAAGACAAAACTTTCACAAAGTCATATGCCTCTCAGGAAAATCTATGCTTCAGTAGTTTTGAAAGGTAAATTTGAGTTAACGGTTCACGGATATGAACCCTACATCATTCATCCACAAGCTGAAGCTAGGGCAACTAGAGTTAGTAGCATACTTAGTAAATTGACAGCAGTTGTTAGTGCATTTGTATAGAAATATGATTTCGCTACCAAAACTGTCTGCTTTTTATCAGTTAAAAGCATTTATAACAATTAGCCAATTGTTTTTAGTGAATTTAAATTCCATTAGTGGGATCCAAGTAGGTAATGTTTTGGAATTCAGATGCTTTTCCTGCCTATTAGAAACTTGTTACGTCCGGTATGAGCGCTTATAGCAGTAGGATTACAGGTTCATGATAAAACTATGCGAAGATTTATTGCATGTTCACATTCAACTTTTTTATCTTACCATTTAATTGTGTATCGTTTTTAAACAGGTGATGTATACGTTGGTCAGTGGTTAAAGGGCGTGATGTGTGGGCGTGGAATACTGCATCAAACATCTGGAATCTATGTAGCTGGCGAATTCCAAGCCAATGGTATTAATGTGTGTTATACAGTTTTGTGTATATGTTGACTAGCTTAATTAGTTATGGTGAATTTATTCCTTTAATGAATCTCTTTTTACCATTACTGTAGATTTAAAATGCTGCTATGTAGTTGGCGTATTATAAATTGGTAACTATAATCCATTTACTATGTAGTGCTTATTTGATAACTGCCTTAAGTTTGATAAATTATCTTCACGATATTGATACGAAAATTTATAGAAAAAGAGGTCAAGTAGGAATGATAAGTTAAAGGCCATATAACAATGAAAATCAAAAGAGCTAAAATCATAGTATATCGAACTGTTATTTTCGCTCTGTTGACTTTCATTGCACTTAGTCATGAAGGTCAGTGAATGTCGGTGGGGATTGTAATATCCTGGAGTCTCCGACCGCCGACTTCAACCAGGTAGTTTACATATACATAAACAGCTCATACCAACAGTCAAAGTCTCGATGAACTGATGCTATGTTTTCGTCTGGCGCCCTATGACCTCTGTCCAGGCTGAACCAACTGACTTTCCTTTTCTGCCCAATGCTCTTCACCTGCATTTTCGCGTTACCGACATGGTGACACCATGACACCTGTATTACGTAGACAACGGTGGTCAAACACCAAAGCCTTCTCATATCCTCTACCTTTAATGGCCATGTTTCACAGCCATGTAGTAGATTTAGAAGAACTGCTGCTCAGTACACTCGTCGCTTGGTAAGTTGATGAAAGCCAATCGAGTTTTTTGTATTCATGCAGAAATTTCATCTGTCAGTGATCCACCAGGGCTATCTGGCTTCCTAAGTAAGTGAAGTCCCCAACTTGCTCAACCACTTTACACTGTATTTTGTCAACTACAGTCTACGAAGTCGTTTCACTAACGACATGACAAAATTATGAACATTTCCCGTGTGAATATAGATAGCGGATATAGAGAGAGTGGTAATATTAGAATACGAAGCGATAATTAGTAGATTATTTAGCTCGTATTTACATTACTCGCATATAAGCAGTGTTCAAATACTCCAATATTTTTCTTGGTTTGTCAAGCAATGCGGTTGTTGTCTATCTGTTTGTTTGAAATAGTACTGTGATTTACGACATTACTAAAAATTTGGTATGAATGCCAAATCCTTTTCTTTTGTATGCCTTTTTCTAGCGCAAACTATTGTCATATCAAAGGCAAACTGATGAGGAAAGTTGAAATAGATGGCGGTATCTTGTTACTTAACCTTAGCAGACTCTTTAGCTATTCCACTACTCAATATCGCTTCGTGATTCACTGGCTTGAAAGATCTCATACATTTCTTTCCCTTGACAACTTTGAATATACTACTGGATTATGATTGGAAGTGAAGTGAACATTTTGACCGCGGTCTGATTTGAACCAGTGACCATCGGCTTTTCGGCGAGGTGATCTACCAACTGAATCACGAGTTCCGACTGCTGACCAGATTTGAATGTAGCAACGACAGCAACATTTTATGAAACTAGAATTATCAGTCTAATCATCTATCATTTATTTTGACTAAGATATGTTAATTTAGGTTATGTGCAGCTGATAAATATCCTAGAAATGACTGTCTCCATTCTTATTCAATTTTATCATAGATATTATTATGGAGGTATCCCTCTCGTCACCTGATTACACAGACGTTGACCTAATCACAGGAGAATTTTCGTTAGACCTAGAATATGCAGATGACATAGTCCTGTTAGGTCAAGACGCTGACAAGATGCAGAGTCTTCTGAATAATTTGAGAATGTTTGGGATGCGTTTCTCACCACCCAAATGTAAATTGTTGCTCAAGGATTGGTCCTCAACAGTTCCACGGCTAACAGTGGAGAGTGTAGTGGTTGAGTGTGTCGACCACTTCACTTACCTTGGAGGTAGGATCAGCCCTGGTGCCTTGGTAAGTACCCGATGAAATCTCTGCACAGATACAAAATGCTCGGTTGGCTTCAGCCAACTTACGCCACCTGTGGCGCCGACGCCATATCCGATTGTCTAGTAAGAGTCGCGTGTACTGCACACCAGTCCGAGCTGTTCTACTGTATGGCTGTGAAACATGGCCCTTGAAGGTGGGAGACATGACAAGACTTCAAGTGTTTGACCACCATTGCCTTCGTAGTATAGGCCCTATTCCGTGGTGTCACCATGTGAGTAACGCAGAAGTCAGGAGTAGAGTTTGTTTTAGGGAGAAGAGGTAAATCAGTTGACGAAGTTATGAACCTCCATAGACTGAGATGGTTGGGACACGTGTTACGTGTGCTTAGTCGTCGATTGCCTCGTCACACAATGTTCGCTGAAGTAGGTCCAGGCTGGGAAAAGGCCCGAGGCGGCCAGACTAAAACATGGCACCAATGTATGAAGTCTCTGATTGTTTGTTTGAGCCACGTGGGGCGAAGCGGACTAGCCCGTTGAGGTCATGCGGAACAAGAGGAACCAGAGGTTGGAGACTCTAGATGATCACATGGCTCAGAACCGATGTCAATGTTGCAGATGTATACATACATTATCCTCATCTTAACGATGCTAGCTATACTGAGTCTCACCATTTTCTCATTCTTTCTTTCTCTCTTCTTTCGTACTTTATATTTCTTTTGACTGAATTTTCTTATCTTCATCTTGCACTTCACTACCTTTTTACTTGATGTACTGATATGAGGTGTGGCAACTAGGATCGTTACGCAGTGATCCCTGGTCCTATGTTGGTATTGATGATGTTGAGAAATGATGGCTTTTTATTGTGTTGGTCTGTTCATTTTTGCTTGGTTCAAATTTGTCAAGGAAATGAAATTTATAGAATTCTTATACATAATCCAATTCTCTGTTGACTCCATTTCTTTTATATACCATTTAGCGTTGGATAAATGTTATGTGTCATTAAAGTGGATATCGTCTACAGACACTAACCTCTTTTCGAAATATAAGCTTATTAGTTTTCCTAATGAAGACAAAAAGAACTATTCCAGTTAGAATAAAGTGCTTACTTCAACTGAATGATTTCATTTTTTAGTTAGAAGCAGAGTGTTATTTGGGAAGCGTCTCATGGCCCATATGTATGGGTGAAATCGATCTTTACATTTTCATGTAGTGTTTATCTGAACCTCTATTTTATCTTCCACTCCTTACACATTAAAAGAAAGAATTGAACTAGTAACGTGATTGGTTTTGTAATAAGCTCAATCTTGTTAACTAATAAACTCATTTTAATGCTTATATTTTTTCATCAGTAATTAAGTGATTGAGTAAATAATAATAAATACGCGAAGGATATTTAACGCGATGAGACACTTGGACTGGATATGAGTAGAAACTGTTCTCTCTCAGACCCTTGTCACTTCACTGAGCTGCAAAAATTAGAAGGCAAAGACCGGCCTGTGATTGTAAAGAAAACCTTTTATTCGGCATAATTACGTCATTTATATACAGCTGATATGAACATATAAAACCACTAGGTCACCTGTAGGACATTATTGTTCAGTAAGGTTTTTCCTCTCGATAAAGTAACATGAAACAAAGGTGACATCCAAGACTTCTAACTTGGCACCTGATAACTTAAAATGTTGATTTACATTTAGCCCGCTTCCTATCAGGTATGCCTGATAAATTTACATTAGTTTTTAAATATGATTGCTGCCTCAGTACAGGCATCTGGAAAAATAAGTTTGTACTATTTTTCGGAGTAAAAAATAGTTACAACTTTACACATTTCTGTATTACTGATATGAAATATTGTTAAAAATTTGTTTTTTCTGTAGGGACAAGGTTTATGTGTTACTCCTGAAGGAAATATTTACACTGGACTGCTCGCTAAAAACCAACCCAAGGGCAAAGTAAGTTGATAACTGTTCGAGAAAGTGTGCATCAGAATCTGTCTGCATTTTACATGGATGTACATTTAAATAAACAAAAAAGTTGAAACCAATTTTGTTCGCTTTAGGTGTCATACAATGCATCGCTTACAATGAAATTCCTAGGAGTCTAAAACTTTACAGTAAGGTTAGTGAATGCCAATGTGAAGATATGTGGTGTTTTGAAGCTTGAAACATCGTAAATATATTGTCATACAGTTCAGCACTTTTACTACCCCTTTAGCCACAATTGGTATATGCACCCTACTAATCCTATCTGGTTACATAAATTGTAAACCAAGCGTAGTTTTCATTTATCGCCCACTGTTCCACTATGCCAAAAATCCTGATGTTCTTTGAGTGTTTTGTTGAACTGATTCACTGACCAACACAGAATCTCAAAGTGGGACATTGATTGTCACACTATTTTACTTCAAGAAACAAGATCACTTGTAGAGCAGGTGAATTAAAGGGCTTGCAAACGAAAATAGTGTATTGGGTTTGGATTATTTTCGATAACTGTTGGCAGTTCACATTCTTTTTTCACAATGAGCACTCTGTTTAGGAGCAGGTTGTTAGGAATTCCACTCATCTCTCTCTCCTTAGTTAACTATATCATTAGTCACCGTGTATCCTGTTTACATACCAGTAAAAATAACCCCCCACATGGAGCTGATTACAAACCAATGCAGCATTTTTTGGCATCTGTCTTAAACATTGTTTCATATTTGTACAGGGTAGTCGGGCACAATTAAATTTAGGGGAAATGTGTTAGGATGAAGGGGGTTGTGGCCAAATAGATACATCATAATCATATCCCCTCCATCCCCCTGCATTGTACTGGTTGCAGCTTAAAAAAACAACTAAGCCATCCAGGTAAGGTTTGTACTGTCACCCAATCACTTTTTTGCAGCTCTTCTCTGAACCCGTTCTAGGATGGTAATATCCTTCTTCAAGCCTGGGGACATCACGAGTGAGTTCTTTCCAAGTTGAGGATGAATATAAAGTCCATTCACCGTGTTAAAAGGGTCATAGTTAGACTCCTTGAAGTTCATGAAAGAAATCCCAGTACTCAGGCCTTCTTGGCTACAAGATGACTAAACCTAAGCTCCAAGTGTGTCACTTAAAGTAGCCCAAATCTTTTTTAATGTGTGAGCGACATATATTTTTTCACCCGGGGAATAAGAACTGAAACTATTTCTGCATTTGTCAACAGTAATTATCCCACACTTCGCGTTGGGTGGGAGTAGGTTTTCAGTATTCCAATTTAGGATTTTGGAAGGGTCCTCCTGGAGGACCGAAATATCCATTGGCAGCTGTATTTCTCTCCAAATCTTCAGATCATCAGTATGTAGTAGTGAGTGAAAATTGAGGGGTTCCTAGTATGTCGCTGATAGAAGTAACAAACAGTAGTGGACTGAAAATTGAGACATGAGACACGTCACTCAGCATCGAGAACTTATTAGATACAGATGATTCAACTCTAACTGATCGCAACCTAATATAAACGTGATCTTTGAGCCAACTCAGTAACTGTGCGTACATCAACAAACTGAAGTTTCTTACACAGGATGTCATGATTTACCCCGGTCAAATGCCTTAGAAAAGTCCAGTAAACCAATCTGAATGAGCTTTTTCCGCTCAACAGGGAGTTCTGCTATCCTAAGCTATCAACAAGTTGGCGTTAAATTATCATCCAGGTAAAAACCCGTGTTGATGGTCATATAAGGTTGAGTTTTTAAATGAGTACTCACGAACTGAGTCGTTTATTACCCTGTGCATAACCTTCGCAACTGCAGAGATCAGGGAGATCGGTCTATATTTAGAATAAATTAGTTTGTTTCCACTTTTAGATGCCGGGGCGGCAGCCACTTGCCTGCGAAGAGAGGGTGACCTACCTCCCAGAAACTAACGTCTGAAATGGATTGTTAGGGGGGCACTCAGAACATCGACACTTTAAGTACTCTTGAGTGAGTGCCATCAGCCCTCGAAGACTTATTCGGATTCAAGATTCGTAAGATTCCCTTAGTCATATGAATCTCAAACTGTATGAATTGACCCTTCCGTAATACGGTTGTCTGACAGATTTGTGATTGTCTCTCTTGATCGACAAAAGTCGTTTTGAAGTTCGTTAGATAGTAGGTTTCCTGCCTTAGAGTTAGTGTGGAGAATCTGTGAACTACTGGAGTCCTATACACCAAATGAAACGTCACTGCTCTGCTTCATCGGCGAGTACAATACTACATGGTTTTTCTGGTGAGTTCTACACACGTATATCTAGTAGTTAGCGATTTCCTCCCTGATTTTGATGGTACACCTGCTATGGATATCCTCGTATCTCTCCAGTCTGTATAGCTGCCAGCGACCCACTATTGTTTCCAAGATGACCGCTTATACCGTATTAGCTTACACGTGATTGAATTAAGCCAAGAAATGTAAAACTTGCTGGTTCTTCATGGGACTGGAGAAGTACTATTATTTATTGTTTGAAGAGTTTCGCTATTCAAGAGTTTTCATCTAGAATCCAGATTCAGTGGTTTGTCGTGATTTAAACAAATGGAATCTTCGGGATCTTGTTCGGCTTTTTCAAAGCCAGTCCTATGGTGCCTGGCTAATAGCTGATCAGGGGCATGCAACTTAGATATAGCAACCCCGGAGGAAACAAACGCATGATCTCTCAGTCCAAAAGGGCTAAGGACGTTTGAGTTGTTTACCCCACTGGACTGACTGGTAAAAATATAAGCTGGTTGAGTGCCTTACCGTCAAACTCCCGACGGTACAGTGAGAAACAAGTTTAGTCAAGGAGTTTTCCGGCAACGACTCCTGAGATTCCGTCGAAGCAGAAAATGGCTTTAGTGGTCAAGAGCTGAGGAAAGTTCTAATCCCTCATAATGAGAACCTAGTAAAGGTTGGAATCCAGGGCTCTTCTGATAGACTGTATCATCTTATTTAACATGGAGGTGGCTCCTGGAGGGTGGTCGAAAATTAAAGCCGAATAGCGACCTCCATAGTGTTTAATGCCACGCCGGAGTACATCTCCGGTGCCAGTTTTCTGGAAGGAAATTTCATGGACTTTCAAAGAGGGCGGTTTTAAAGAGCAATGCCGCCTCTTAGTCCCTCTGACCTATCCTTCCCGATTAAGGTGAGCTCTCCTGGATGAATTATTGAACTTTTAGCCACATTTCACAAAGCCGTTATGTCCCAGCTATCTTCATCAGTCAATGACCTGAAGTGATGCAGGCTGGATCTCGAAGCGATGCAAATTGCTATAGATACAGCAAATGATAGTGTAAAGAGCATAAGCAACAGAAGGAGAATTAGTCGAGGAGATTGTGTTTCCAAACCTTGGAAGATTGCTTTCATAGGGACTTTTACCCGCAAGGGAGCAGACCCAACGTCAACTACTCCCATCACTCTTCTTGACGGAAGACTGGCGCAAAATTCTTCGATCCAAGACAAGACCGAGAAAAAACCTGCTTATTGTCCTACCATTCGATAGTCAGACGCTGGCTGACCAGCGGAAAGTACTTGAATCTCCTCTCACTCCGCCTTTGCCCTTTGGATTCACATTCCTATTTGTTCATATTTCCGGGAAATGCATCAGATTTACTATGCCCCGACTCCAGGGCTGTTCTGACTGTATCAGGGGTTACCTAGAGCAGTCTGGGGGCAAGAATGGACGAGAGATGAGTCATCCTTGAAAGGTGATGAATTTTTGGCACCTATACTGACCTGAAGTTTGTTCGTTGGATATCTCCTCTGATTCACCTCATGAATAAGCTCATTTATCTCAGTCTCCACACATTATGGAATCCCATGCACGATGATGAAACAATATAGTTCTTTGGGGTGAAGTTTCCTGCTGTCATGGGGAAATTCCTTTGTAGACCAGGGTTTATCAGGCCCAATTTTCACGGGGATGTGTTCGGGTTGATGAGCACTATCTAAAGAAACTCGAGGGTCCGTTGGGGTGTTCGGGGGAGAGCTTGCCACTGGCTCAGCGTTCTGGAGATGAAACACACAGCGAGGTTACCAAACGTCCACCAACATTCTTTCATTGAACAAGAGCATTCTGTTCACGACCAGCCAATGGGAAACAGTTAGTTTGCCGCTAAAGAGCATGAGTGACTTAGGATAATGGCTGTGATCCAATTTTTGGTATGCAGCCCTCTTCTGCATAATTTTCGAGCACTGACACCGGGTCCGGGCTCCCAGCTTTGGGACTTACTTTTTGGGTTTACAGGGATCGGTTTCGAAATGCAGGGGGCTCTGGCCACTCCCCTACAAGTGGTGAGATAGATCTATTCTCGGACCACTTTCCACCTGAATTGAGATTTGGCCTCCTGTTAGGATTAAGAGGTAGCTACTCTGACAAGATTGCCACCATCTCCTTACGTATCACTATTAGTTGCTTTAACCTGCCTACATTTCTTCGAGCCTTTCTTTCAGTGCTTGTCAGATGTGGAACTCATCGCCAGGAGGTCTGTTACACGACTTTTTTCACCCTGAAGCAGTTTGTGACCGTGGTGACTCCCCCCATATTTCCATTTACTCTAGGACGCTTGGTACTGGCCATTTTAGGAGAGAATATTTCAACGTTATTACCTTTCTTTTTGCTGTCTTTAGGGGTCTTTTGAAGTGATGCAACTTCTGATTTGTGTTAGTTCGCGTCAGCACCGCAGTTGCAAGGTGCTCAGAGTCATGTTCAGCTGGCTGTCTACCCATTAGAATTTACCTTCTTCCCACAACATAGACGCACATATCCGTCTCCACTAAGCGGGCTATTTAGTAGTACTCCGTAGCAAATAGATAGCTGGCTAGGAACACAGATGCAGCGAGGCTCAAAATCCATCGCCCATGCTGAGTAGCTGATGTACGGGCGATAAGCCATGCAGACACCCTTTGGGGACTGCCACCAGATAGGATATACATATGTGTACGCTGCTTCAAAAAGGAAACTGAACCAAAAGAGTAAATATTCA